AAGTTTAGCACTTGACGTACCTGTTAACAGGCACATGTCCTGCATCTGTTGTTCAGACAAAAACAAAAAAAAAACAGTTAGCACAAAGCTATGTTACCACAGTTTTGTTACTTTTAACGTGTTGGATGAATGCCATACAACTACTGGCTTAATTCCCGTAATACTATAGTACATACCCTGTTCCCATTACAAGATTAGTAATTTTTGGTTCTAATTCATAACCTCTCTGCCGGGGATTGGTCATTTCCCGTCTTTCAATGAATCCTTTTTTTTACGGCAATATATAAAGCAGCATGATGTTTAACAAATAGATTCCATATTGCCGTTCTATGGTCCCTAATGTAGATCACAGATTACGTCAAAATGTGCTAGGACCAGAAATAGTGAAACCCGAGCCGTTTGGCGAGTGCTTCACTGATGTTCTTACCCCATTTTTACGTCATCTGTGGTCTATTACTAAACAGACGCACGGCAACAGGGAATCTACTTGTTTTATATAAGTTACTAATGACGTCATCTATGCATCTGTCCTCCCATTTAGATAAGTAACAACCAATCAACATGCGAGAATAACTTGGCATATTATGTTATAATGAACATCAGTATTCAATTCATATGTGCTATGAATGTATAATCGATAACACAAAATCTTCACTAGTAACCTGTTAAAACTGTCACAGTTACAATCACTTTACCTTTTGAGGCCTTAGCATAGACGAAGCAAATATACCCAACATTTTGTACACATGTAGGTAAGACAATAAATCACCTTTTCGCTGTTTCTTTCGCCAAAAGATGAAAACTCCAGCAAAAATGAGCAACGTAACAAATAAAACTGCTGTCGAGGATGCAAGAACTATCACTACCAAGGAAGAGCTATCTTTGACCCGAGCCTGCTTGGGATCTGTTGGCAAAGGTTAATTATAATTTTGTAGGAGATAGGCAGCATGTATTCAACAATGCGAGCGGAGTAACTCGGGGTTCGTAACGCAACACCTTATACCCCAACTCCACTAATTCGACCCTCTTTCTCACTTTAAAAGTACACCGATTGTCCGGGATATCCTCACAGGTGGCCTTATGCGAGGGTAATGTATAAA